CCCAAACAATTCTTTTTTTTTTTTTACAGTTTTCAATTGTCTGAAGTTGACAAAATGTCAACAATTCTTTAAAACTGATTATTTATGTAATACAATATCACAAGTCTTGTGCAACTTTGTGAGTACAGTATGTTGGTTTTTCTTTCTTCTAGTTGTAGTAAGATGTAGAGAAGTAATAATCTTTCTGTTGATTGTCACAAAACTACCATGTTTGTATTTGTTCTGCTTTCTTCTCTCTCTCTCTCTCTCTCTCTCTTAATCCTAATGAAAGGGCTGGAAGGTCTCTAAAACGAAACTGCTCGTACTGAATAATATTATAAATGATAATAATATTTCAATGTAAGCAGATGAAGACATGTGTGATTCCAGTTTCCCAGGGGACAGACAACAGAACATTTTTTTCTTTCTTTTTTGGTTAACGTGTTGTGAAAGAATAAAAGATTTTTACCTAAAAGAACTGTTGAATGTATTGGTTAGTGATTTTAAAAATGAACTGGAAGAACCTTTTTCAAAAATGAAGGCAGGGGTCAATATACATAAGCCAGAAGTACCTTCTGGCCCTAACATTAGATCCTCAATTGTTTTTTTTTTTTTTCTTTTTTTGCTTGTAATGATGTATTAACTAAAACATAACCATTACAGTGGGCAAAATAATAACTTAATATTGAACATGTTAATTCAAATTTGACTTGTATTTCACCAAATTAAGACCATAAAATAATTTGTCTGGATATTGTAAGATCAAAGTTTTTGAAATTTAAATTCTTTATTTTAGTTTTCTATGAATAACTTCTGTTCCATAATAGCTTTTACATTTGGTGAATGAAATCTATATGTAAATGTTGCATCTATTATGGGACAGCAAGGCAAAATTTTGAAAGTAATTGGAATTTGTATCATTTTCATTTCATTATACTTGCTTGAAACATTTATACCCACTGTTCCCATTTTGGGGATGGTGGCCATTAATTCATAGAAACTTATAATTCTTTTGTTTGTTTTTTTTTTTTTTTTTCTTTCTTTTTTTTCTTTTTTTCTATGTGTGTGGGGGGGGGCGTCAAGAGGGTCACTAAGAAACCTATAATTAATACCAGATTTTTATTATAATTAATCCTGGATTTTATGGTGGGCATTAGTAAGTTAAGTTAGTTTTAGATTTAAACTTTTAAGTTTAAGTGAGAATTTTACTGAAAATAGATTGAATATTTAATATAAAATATAATTTGTGTTGATTCAAAACTTTATGCAGGCATCTAGACCCTGAACAGATTTTTCACACAGTATATGTACTTCAAAAATCAATAATATCAATGGATATAAAAGCCTACTAAAAATGAACTTCTAAGACCAAACAAAAACATATTGTGATTGTCCAGCATATCCAGATGGTTATTTGTATGTTGCTGCTAAATCCGTGGTATTTATTCTCAAGTCAATATTAACAAAACCAATTTATTCACATTTGGTTGGTGTTGGGGAAATTATTGTTAAAGTTTAGCTGTTGGTTTTAAAACAAAGAATTTTTTTTTTTTTTTACTTACTGCAAGAAAAGCCATTTTTTTTTTTTTAACTTGGCTCATTGGGGAATTATGAGGAACGTTTTCTTAAAAATGATGTTTTATGGATAACAAACCCCTTTTTTGTATGTAAACTAAAGTATCTAACTCAGTCATCTGCCTAAACAAACATCCACATCTTTATCATTTTTCATAATATTTTAACCAGTCAATTTCCAAACATTACCCTTACAATATCTTGACTAGTCTATTTCCCAATATTTCCCTTACAATACTGGCTAATATTTTGAACTTTAAGTTTTCGATCTCTCTTTTATCAAGAAATTAACAAAACCCTATATTAATTAATTAATGTTCTAGTGCAGAAACTTGGAAAATTGAATTAGTGCAAGTCACAAATCATGCCATTTCTATTAGAGAGATTTTTCTTAATTCAGATGAAGTTTTATTATATCATGTGACTCTAAATTTGCTTTCAAGTAAAAATACTCTCTGGACAATTTCTAGTTTTTTTTTTTTTTGTTTTTTTCACTCTAATAAAATATAAAATTGATAAAATTTTAAGGGATTGAATATTTGAAATAATTATTAACTACCACAAAAGTAGAAATATTTTGGTAGACCATTGGATTGACAGCTCAGGATCAATTTTAAACCCTTCTATTCGGGCAGGTAAGGTTTTAACTCGTATATGAGAATGAAAATCTAGCTTCAAACTCTGTGCAAAATATAGATTGTTGAAACATCATTATTCATGTACTTGTAAAATACACTTTATCCAAAAGCCATGTAAATGAAAATCTACAAATGCTTATATAATTAGGGGATGGGATAAATAAATTGGTAAATAAAATGGTCATTAAAAGGTATGGATCTTTTAATTTACAGAGAAAGGGATGGAGATGTTAGTCTGAGCAGATTATTGAGTTATGAAAACTCTTTCTTAAATGGAATATCATTAAAATTCAGAGAGTTTTTAGATTGATATTTTTATCTTTGGAAGCACACACATACACACACATTTGACAATTTTCTTAAAACTTTAGTAATGTATTTAGTACATGTGCATTGAATAAAATCTTGTTATGATCAGGACAACAAATCTTTTCATTAAATCAGTTACCTTTTTAGCTCTTTGAGGCTCCCTTTCATCCACTTTATACTGCTTTGCCATCTGTTGATCAAAATGATGGAACAAAATATAAATTTATGTGCTCTTTGATGTTAAGATAAAAACAAAGTGAAATTAAAAATGACCCATCATGCAATTCCCAACAAAATTGGGATGAAATTCAACCCTTGATGTTTAAGAGTAACAGTAGATAAAAAGATTTTAATTTTCAGTTATGCCAACTGAAAACATTTGAAAAAGGTTGCTGATTTGTAGAGTACAAAATAAGCAACAAAGACAAGCGTATCAGTTAAAAATCTCTCTGAAATTATGAATATACGTATAAACCTACCACCAGTCTAGGAAAACAAACGTGAATCATAACAAAAAGTAATTGTATGAAATTATTTCACAAATGCACATCCCTTGATATATATTTTTTGTTTTTTTCCCCACTATTGTTGTCTTTGTTTTGTTTTTTTTTTATTATTTTCAGGCTTTTGTAAGAGCACCAGTTCTAACTTTCCACTTGAAAGTAGCTTTCCCTCTGATCCTTTCCTGTTTAAAAGCCACGTGCTTCAAAATTTTGAATTTACTTATCATTCTCAATAAAAAAAAAAGCAATTTTCAAAAGTTACAAGTAGCAGAATTTGAAATTTAGTAGCACTAGTCTTTTAAAAGTAGCCTCTCTCACAAAACAGACACACAGACGCACTATCTGGCAACCTATAGCATAAAACTTGATAAAATATATACTGTTAATCTTGCATAATTTTTTTTTTTCAAATTTTTGACAGCATTAATAGTCTACTTTAGATTGTAGAAAATAAAAATAGATAATTTTTGTATGTTTACTATTAATGCATTCATTCATGTTGGCCATTTCCTTTTCTCTCGAAGAATAATGGTCTCAAAAATGCTATCAAGGGGTTGTAAAAAAAATGTATTTGTAAGGCAAACTAAACATTGTTCTGTTTTTTATTTAGTTAATCATTGCAAAGGATTGAAATGAATGATGCAATACAGTATGTTTTCTTCTTTCCATCCATTTTCTTTTTCAGTCCAGAATACAGAAAAAAATCACTTTTTTTATTAATTGTTTCTACATTTTGGGTCTTATTATTCACTTATTTTATTTCAACTTTTTGTTTAAATTTGTATTTTAATTTATTTCTGTTTGGTGTTGTGAAGATTTTTTTAATTGTTTTATTTCTAATTTACATTTTTTCCTCCTTCTTTTTACATTATTGGACAAAGTTTTCTAAAATATGCTCTTATTTCAACTTGATAAAACCTTGGTATTTAATAAAAAGAAAAATCTACAATTCTTTCTAAAATCAATGCGAATACCAACTATAGATTAGAAACAAACTTATTTATTAATCAAAGTGTTGTTAATGTAAACAGCTTTAAGGTTGCATGTTTAAAAAGAAAATATGTTATGATTCAGTGTTTTACTTCTTATCACATAAACTAAAGTCCATTTTCCCCACCAATGTTTAACAATTTTCAAAGTTATAGATAACAAGTTTTTAAATAAATACTAAATATGTGCACTTTTTATTCTTAATTTTGTCTAATATTTATTTATTTTTTTAATAACTTTTATTGAAGTTGTCTGTCTGCAGCATTAAGTAGACAGGATTGGAAATGACAAACATTTAGTGAAACTCAAATCTATTATTGTATGTAAATTTATGAATGATGGTATTCATTTTTAAAATTTCCTTACTCTCTCCCTCTCCAACCACCCACAAATTTATATATTTAGCTATTTCAGTTGTAATCTTACTTGTTAGAGCTTAGAGCTGAAGGCTAAGTAATCTGGCACTTCTCTTGCATCTTGTTTTCATCAATTCTCATATGTTCATTCATGAGGACGAAAATTTATTTCCAAGAAATACAATGCATTTTGTAGCAAATCTAATCATCTCAAATTGCAAAATATCTAGAATATAAATGAAGCATAAAAGAAATATCAATTTCATTTTTTTGTCTTTTTTTTTTTTTTTTTTTTGTTTTCATGAATTTAAAAAGACTAATCAATAACTGAGATGAAATTCTCGTCATGACTTTGATTTATTTTTGACCAGTACGTTCTCCACTCTTCATCAGATATTCTCATTTGCAAACTGATAATCAAAAAAAGTAAGTAATGTCTATAATGTATATATATATATATATATATATATATATATATATATATATATATGTGTGTGTTTTTTGTTTGTTTTTTTTTTTTAAGGTCTTTCTGTCTAGGGTACTAAGTGAACAATGTAAGATGTAGTTTTTTGGGCAATAGCTTCTCTGCGAAAAGATATTTTCTGTGTTGTGACTGTGTTGATGAGTTGGCAATTTTTCGCCTTTGTCAGAAACTGCTGAATGATCTTGTGGAGGAAGAGAGACGCAAGTCACGCCAAATTGGAAGAGAAGTTTTACAGAGCTGCAAGGAAGAGATGAAAAATTATGTTGCCGAACAACGACAGGTTGGTTCAGTGACAATTAATTTGTCTGGGTTGGTCTGTTTGCCCAAAAACACAAAAAAAAAAACTAAAGGGAACACACACAAATATGCATGTACATAGGTTATTTATGTATATTTATACATGCATATATATACATATGCATATATACATACACATATCTGCATGCAAGCATGCATACATATAGGCATACACACAGCTGCAAGTATACATAGATATGTTAACACACACACACACACACACACACACACACACATACATACATATATATATATATATATATATATATATATATATATATATATTTACTTTGCATATATATTTTGGGTGTTTAGAAAGTTTGTATAGAGTTCAACTTCTAATCTTTGATGTGTTCACATAATTGATGCAAGAATGACAATGTTTTACCATTTCATTTTAACTCAGGGGAAATTAAAAAATTTTAAATAAACCAGAATTTAAAAAATGATACCATTTTTAAAATTCAGATATTTAAAAAAAGAAAAAAAAAAGGAAAGACAAAACATTTAGTGAAGAAGTTAATCCTTGGCTCTATGAAGAAACTTGGTCATGATTTTACTACCAAGGTACTATCCCTTAAGGAATTTCCACCTTTAAAAATGTAATGGATGATTAGTTCACTGCTACTGCTATCAAAAATCTGAAATGAATCAAATGATAACTTTTAAGCCTTTGAAAACTTTAAATAGTTATTCTATATCCTCTTAGTAATTTTCCCATGCTGTCAAAGACAAATGAAATTGATATTTTAATTCTTTTCTACTGTTAGGTTTTTATATATGAATCTTTAAATAAACATATTTTTTCTATTATTATTACTATAATTTTGCAGAGTTGATCATTTTATGTTCTGATTTTGTAAACATCTTGAAATAGTCTGCCATTGTGAAAACGAAGACCCTGTTACCAGGCGTCAACACTGCAAAGGATATAACTAGTACAGCAAAAGTTAGACATCACAAACAAAATATATAAATACACATGATTAAAGTAAAACTCAAGTATTCAGATTGTTTCACTAATATACATTTATTTTTTCTTGTGAAAAAATTATTTTCCTGATAAAATTAGAGAAACGTGTCAAAGAAGTTTTCAAAATGATCTTATATTATTACCATAATATAATAATATATAATTGTAGTAAATACAATATTTATAAGAGAAAAATGACCAAAAGCAGTTGAAACATTTTTAGATGAGTGTTAATTTAGAAAAAAAGAAAAAGTGAGCCTCCTTATCAAATTTTCTGAACTTTTGTTTTTCTTAATTAACTGGAAACAAGGAAAAGTAGTAAAAGTCAAAGTTACTGTGGGATTTGAACTCTTTACTCATCAAAGACAAATGGAATCTATAAACTGTTAGATCTTAGCTGATTTCTCTACTTCAAATTTTCTACTTGGGTTTTGTCTTTCATTGGTTTTTATGTTTACCAGTTTTGTTGGTAATTCTCACTTCAAAATGGATCTGATCATATTTCTAAAAAGTGGTTGCTCATACCCAGTATTTGGTTGCAATCAGTCTAAGCAGACTGCAAGTAGATAAACATTATAATGGTACTTCTCTTATAGAAAGTTATTTAAACGGGAAGCACTTGCTAAACATCCAGAGAGTGTGTGTGTGTGTGCCTATATATTAATACATATGCACAATTCTAACCATGTTTTGTGTGTAATTAGGCACTTTATTCAATCTAGTTTCACATCTAAATCTTATTTCTCAAAACCGTAACTTTCCACCACTTTTTATGGTCAAATCTTTTTCCTTAGAAATTTCATAAAACATTCCCGACAAGTGATTCTGCACTAAAATCATTTTTAATTGTTTTTTCATTGAGTTTCAAACAACACAAATTTTTCATTCAGATCCATAAGGCCAGTGCCATTTTTATTAATTCTTTCGCTTATTTTGACCCAAAACAATTTTTACAACATAAGAATGAATGTTATGTGCCTCTCTTTCTTCTTTGAAATGTTCAGACTGATTTCAATCAAGTTTGATGTATTATCTTCTGAAGAACTTGATTATGTAGTGAAAATAATGTTATCAGCAAGATTTTAGCCCTAAAACCATGAAATACAAAACTAAAATTTAAATAGCTTGAAAAATGTTTTGATGATACCATATTTGTTTAATATTGGTCCATACATCTTGAAGAAGCTATAGGTTCTTCACATTGATTCTTATTTTTTGGTGATAGTGCAATGTTTCTTGGATGGAATAGATAATTACTAAATGGGAGGCTGCATGTTGTAATTGCTTAACTCTAAAAACATTGAATCACTTCAAGTGAATTAAAAGTAACATTAGCGGTTTAGAATTTGGTCTCTTTCCCAGATTTTTATTTTTTTATAATATATATATATACACATACATACATACACACACTATTCTTGGGTTTATTATAGTGGCAGTTTATTGTTCAAAAACAAAGAAAAACTGAAAAGCCTGGCCACCAGCTTAAAGTTTAGGATTTTTTTCTCGTAAAATTTGTATTTATACAAATAAACTTATCTTAAAATTGCTTTGGGAAATTCTTCAAGTTAATGGTCTAGATGCTGATCTTTTATAAATGGTTATTAAATTATTACAATAAATTCCATGACAGTGCAGTTTTCAATCTCAGAAGTTACTATTCCAACATTTTTAAACTAATCAAATAGTGCAACATAAAAAGAGTTTTAAAGACATTTGGAACTGAAGAAATTGCATTTACCCCTTTCCTTTCACAAGGGCCACTTATGCTCCATTTTTTTTTCCCTTTTTTTTCCATTTATTTTTTGTGTGTGTTTCTTTGTTTTGTTTCACATGCATCTCTTTCCTTCAGCTGGATAACCAACTACGCCAACGGCATTATGCTGCATTGGATTTGTTTCTGGAAAGTGCCCGGCAACAACTCAGATTGTTGATGGAGAGAGATTCCAACGTTGTTATGCCCCCAGCTGATGACCCTAGACCAGCTGGTGCAGAGGCAAGTGCCAGGCCACCAACTGATTCCAACCCCCAACCCTCTTCCTCCTCCTCCAAACAAGACAACCCTCCCAGCAGCAACAGCAGCTAGGGTGTGCCAACATTTTAGACATTTTTTTTTTTTCTTTTTTTAATTCAAAAGTCTACAAGACAAATCTACCAAACAAAAGTGACTGGATCAGAAGGAATGATCACAGAAGATGGACTGGTCACTGTATCAGTGATCAGTGTTTATGACCAAACCTGTGTGTCTAGGCTGGACACAATTGTATAATAGTAGCTGTTGTTAATGGAACAGTGAAATGGGCACTGTTTCATGTTTTAAGCTGCTTCCTCTACACCCAATCTTTTTGGGATATTTTTCTCTCCAATTTCTTTTTCTTTTTTAATAATAATGATAAAAAAATATTCTCAAATTCTACAGACTGTTAGTATCCAAAAATGTTCAATGAGACACTGGCACATGACAGTAAAAATAACTACCTACCTACCTACCTATATATCTTGAACAGCTAAAAACAATCTCTCATAAAACACATTAAAAGTAAATCTTTCCATTTTCTTTTATTTTTTTATCATTTTTTTTTTTTTTTTTTTTTGTAACCAAGAAAAAAAAGATTTTCTTTTTTTAAATAAATAAATTTTTTAATTATTTCTTTCGGCTAAATCCAGTCTTTTAATTAAATTTGAGTGAGTGGATGGGTGGTTGTAATCGAAAGCATTGTTCCTATTAAAATTGTTTTTAATTTGTACCTAATTTAAAAATTAATTCAAAATTACAAAAAAATGAGACAAAATTTACATATTTCTATCTATCTCATCTTTTTGCTTCTCTTTTTCTTAAATGTGACTTTAATATTTGTCAACACTTTTTTTTTTTTTTGACTTGTCTGTTCTTAGAATTGTTAATTAGAGTGAGCTCCACCATAGTGTCAATTATTTTCTTTAAAAACTTATTTTGTGAACAGCATTCATTTGCTGTTAACATAAAACATCACAAGACAGAAAATGTTGAGTTAATTAATTCTCATAATTTATACTAATTTTACTTGCTTTTTACTAATTTCTTAAAACCAGTGCCTAAGAAGCTCCATTCGTATAAGATTTTTATCAGTGTTGATTGCTCAGTCTCTGCAAGATCTGGTGTTTTTTCATCTTCAAATTTTGTTTTTTCTATTTTGGTTATTGAATCCTCATCAATATTTACTGGGTAAATTATTACACATTTGGGGGGTCAAAGTTGAATGCTCTCAAAAGTATGCCTTCTCTCTCACTGGTGTTTTGTGGAAATTTTTTCTTCTAGTTTATATTTCTGTATTTCTAAACTTATAGAACAAATTTTCTGTTGAATTGATTTGACTTGTCAGTCAAATCCTCTAAACCGTAAAACAAATTTTTTAATTAAACTTTTAAAATGTATTACAAATGTTTCAATGTTTTCATAATATTCAAACAAATATCAATCCTTAAAATATTGAATTTTTCTTTTTCTGTTTCCCTCCATTTAGAGAGTCAAATAGGATTTTTTTCTGTAAGAATGTTTATCAAATTCTCAATTAAATGTGTAGCATTTTTTTCTCTTACAAATCAATATCAGAAAACTTTTCTGTCTGTTTTAATCAAGCAAAGAAATTGATTATAGAAATGGATTTAATAATATGCAAAAGTTTTTACCATCATTATTTGTATATGACATAATTGCACAGCAAGTAATTTCTCCGATGAGAGGGGGGGAAAAAAGAAAAAGTGTGCAAATATTATATTAAGCCATGGATGACAATGCTTCATGTTAAGATTTAAGATTAACCATTATCTTGCTTCTCAAATTCTATTTCCATTCAGTTATATTTGCAAGTATTTTCCTTTCTTCTTTTTTTAAATAAACAAGAATTGATTTGGCTTCAAATATCTTCTACAAAAACTCTAAATAATTTAGAATTAACACTTTAGCCTTCAACACACTTACTTTCCCCATAAACATTGGCTCTCAGTGTCTGCATGACTTCCTGTATTATTTGCAATTATGTCATTATGTATATTATGGCAGGGTATCCATAGGGTGGGTTGAACATTGACAGCCAATACTTACATGGATGGGTTGAATGCTAAAAGGTTAATTCTTGTTTCTCTTTTTGAAACTTCATATTCTTTAGGATAATCTACAAAATATATAATTTGCTTACCAACATTTTTAAGTAGCTGATGGGTTTTATTTAAAGGAAATGGACTGGGTGGTTTTCTTGGAATAAAGGTAGATGAACAATGAGCTTTTAAGTTTTTCTGAAGGGTGCCTGCCAACCATCAAGCCATTGTTAGTAAATTCAATTCTCATTGAATACAACAGTACAGCCAAATTGATTTAACCCAACAACTTTTTATCAGGAAACCATTTTTTTTTTTTTTATTTATTTTTTTTTTTAAGGATCTTAATAAAATTAAACTTTTTTTTAGTTTTCATTACTCTATTTTCTAAGTTCTCATAAAAATATATACTTATCCTGTATGATTTTGAATTTTGCACCTATACTGTATGTCTTTTGCAAGTTCTTTTTAGGCTATTCATCTCAATAACTTTCGATATTTTCCTTAACTGAGGATCTGAATAATTGCTTTAAAAATTGAAGCACTTAAATTAAAGTAATAAAAGGATTGTATTCCTTTGTGCCATTCTTTACATTTTTGTGTATTTTCAACTTTTGGTTGTAGAGACAGTTAAACAGAAGATAGATCTTTGAATAATTTCAGTTTGTGATCAATTGTCATCCTCTTGTGGCCTGCATTAACATGTTTAGCCTTCCTAGGTAGAATTAACTTTGACTCTGAGTTATCCACTTTTGGACTATTCACAGATTCTTATTCCTTAGTTTTATGTTTTTCTCCAGTTTTCTAATTTGACTCTCAACAATTAAAAAGAATAAGCAGCTTTCTGTTGTGTGATTTCAATTAGAACTTGATTTTCATGAAAGTGAAATTATGAGCCAATTAGCACAAATCTTGAATCAAATGTAATATTTCTGTGATAAACAAAGATTAGATTGCAAAATTTGATGTGATTTCTACCTTTTCAGTCCATCAAAATCATGAAACTAATTCTAGAAAATTATGGTTGAAGTCATCTTTCGGTAGCAACTCTATTTAGATTATTTATATGTAAACAATATAAGTTTAGTATATTTTTTATATTTATGTCCTTTAATCCGAAATTAAATAAAGAACAAGTTATTTTTATTATTTTATTCTAGAATCCATATCGTTTCAACTGTCATTGATTGCAGCCACATTTAGCAACTTGTTTATAACCAAATGTACCTCATATTATGTACCTAAAGGTGCCTGTTACAGTGCATTGGTTAACAAGCTTGTTTCATGAACCACTTTCACATGTAGAGCAAGTTTGATCCTCATGGCTACCCCACAATTTATGCTACACAAAATAACTATTCCATAATGCATATTTATTTGAACTCTGAAAGTTTCCGATCAAAAATTGGTCAATCATAAGTTTTCATGTTCTGTGGCTGATTTGGTCACGTTTGCTTTGATGCAGAATTTGTTTTCTTTCACATATTTTGTTTTATTATTTAAATAAAATATAAAATGGACTTCTCTGCCTGATAATGTTGCATTTTGTTTATGATATGTGTATGTAAATGTAACAACTATTATGAGACAGAGGCAGTCTTTTTTATATATATATATAATATATATATATATATATATATATATAGCATCCATTTTCTTACCAAATAGAAAAAGAAACCAGTGTTTTGCTCTATTGGATAATCTCTAATTTCAGGAATATAAAGATTTTCATAAAATAAAATTGCATTGATTTAATAATGGGCAACATTTAAGAAAATATTTCCCCAAACTATCTTTAGCCACTTTTATGAGGGAAAGATCTGTTTTGTAAGTTGTAACATTTACAATGAAAAATCTGGAACTACAGAAAGTAAATAATAACCAAATCATTAAGGCTGTAAAAATGAACAGTTGTCACAATCAACTCTTAATTTAGAAAGAATTAAATTAACCAAATCCAAGAGAGATGAATTTTACCAACTGTTCCCCATTGTTTTTTTCCACCCACCCAGTTCACTGTTTAAATTAGAATAAAAATTTCTGAAACATTCCAGACACGAAAATAAGATAATTATCTAAATGCTGAAGATTTTATAAATGAAACAATATTTTCTGATGGTTGCACTATTTCTATGATTTTTCTTTTCACTGTGTAAAATTTTTATTACAGGGATCAGTGACTTCTCAAACATGCATTTAAAAAACACACACACTCCTTTCCAATTGGATGAGTAAGTACATTATATAATTCATGTGCCTAAACGTCCAACAACTCATCACAATTTTTGAAAATTCCATAAATGAAACTCTAGAAATTAGCTCAGGAATTTTTTTTTTTTTGATTTAAAAAAAAAAAAAAAAAAAAAATATATATATATATTTGCTGTTCTGCCTATAAGAAGTTAATCATCTCATCCAATTGTAACACACCTGCTATACCCAATTGGATTGATAAAATAGAAATGTCTATACAACAGCTGTGTATCAATAGGCTTCATTTTCTTTCAAAGCTTTTTTTTTTTTTAAAAATCAAGGTATTTTGTGCATTTGGAGAAATAAACCCCAATTCATGCAGACATTTAAGACCATACAGCATTTTTTCTCCTATTTCTATCTTTTTAAGTCATTTTTGACTGCCTCACTGTGAATGGTTATTTAAACAGGATAAATGCAACCGACATGTGAGCTTTAAAGGTTTTTTTTTTTTTTTTTAAGTTTTGATGAGCATTTTTTTTTTTTTTTTCAAAACATCAAAATCAAATATTCTTGTTTCTAGTGACAGTTTCCAGCTAAAAAAAAGTTTGATGTACATTATCGTAATAAATAGTCTGACACTTTGTATAGGTATTTTGTCTCATTTATTATTTTTTTCTGTTGGTAGTTGGTTTGAAATTTTTTTAAAACCATGTTGTTTCTATCTCAATTGTGCCCCCCTCCTACTCTCTCAGACCCAGTACAGATAAAAAAAAAAAAAAAAAAAAAAAAAATTAAATTCAGGGGATTGGCTGGGGGGGTGTTCTATAAAAAAAAAAAAAAAAATAAATAAATAAAAGCAGAGATTCTCAAAAAATATCTCCAGTTTTATAAGTTGAGTTATCTGGCAGGGCAATCAATGTTTACCCAGATGCAGCAGACTACAATGTTAATATTTCTATGAGGTTGGTTACCTTCTGGAATACTGTATATATTTGTCAAATTAAAGGTTTTATCTGTTGGAATTCTACTGGACAGGCTAATTATTCATTTATGGGTGGATTTTGAAAAGAAAGAAAAAAAAAAAAAAAAAAGCTTTATTTCCACAGTGGACAGGACTGAATTCTTTACATGAAGACTTACCATATCTATGGCAGTATTCCAGGCCTACGGCCTCAGATACAGTGGCATTCAGGGTCAAATCCCAGTCTCGGCAACAGTTATAGTGGCGTGGCCAAAACCACGGACTGCTTGCTTTGGTCATCATCAAACCCGATATCAGAAATTAGCCATCAGCCCACTCGTCAGTCATTGATGGCATTTGACACAGCAGCTGGTCTTTAAATGGACCTCTTCAACTATGACCTCTCTTACCCACATAATTTTTATCAACCATGCTAAACCAAGGAGTTGAACACACACACACACACACAAAATTGAAAAATTAAATTGACAACACCCAAATGTCATGATATGATGTTTATATCAAAATAACAAAAATATTTAGTTTTTTTTTGTTCTTTTTCTTCTTTTCCCAACCCATTCTAATGTTTGGCAACAGAACAAAAATTTTGGGTAACTTCTTTAAGGGTGGCCAGACCTGACAACTGGATTTATCTTCAAGTACTGTGATTTGTACTTTCTTGGATGGCACAAGGATTTCGTCAGAGTTTTTCTTCAGCTGATAATTATTATTTTCATTAGGTTGGCAAAACAGCGTTATGTCAGAAATCTCTTAACTCCCAGTCACAACTTCAAACCTCAACTCTGACTAGACCCAACTGCAACTGTCTCCAACTAACTTTGGCGCTCGTGGGCACTTGTATTTATGGGTGTCCCTTCCAACTGGTGTGGTGTGGGCGAATAGGCGGGTTTTATGCAAATCTAAAATTCAACCATTCTCTTTCTTTCGTTTTCTATTTCACACTTCCAATTTTGGAAGATCAGGAGGAGACATTATATGATGTTAGCCTTCCCGACGTCATCTTCTGCTTTTAATTTTTTTCTCAGGGAAATTTTGGCTGACAATTTTCCCATTGACACCTTTCAGCAGATGACCTTAACCTCTGGCCCCCAACCCGCCAGCTGTGTTTAGCGAAATCGCATTGTGTAACTTTTTCAACAATATTCAGACATCTGTTCCCATATCCTGGGAAAATAAGTCTGACAAATGAAAAAATAAAATCGTTTTGTTTAACCCTTTTTGTCCGTACGCCATGTTAAATATTGTTACATATCTACCCGAAATCTATTCAATAAGTAACATCTAGAACCTTTGCAATTGACAATCAGCTTCAATGGAAGTTTTTGGTAAACTACATATTTGATAGATTCTTGTGATGTTATAATCTAAAGAGTTGACAGGAAGACAACAATAATTAGGGAGAAACAGATGTTAGATTCAAATGTCCTTTGGGATATAGTCTAGTGGATAAAAGTGCTGCTATAACTTATCTGATGTGGAAGTAGTAAGTTCAGTACTTGGTAAAGAAAATATAAATCAGCACTCAGTGGAGAAGCAGATGTTTGCTGAGAAAGGGCAAAAGTGGTTACCGAATGCATCAGTTAAAACAGATCTATTTGAATAATATTATAAACTTTGTCTGCAAGTGTTGCTAAGTTCTTCAGGTTAACTAGTTTACTTAGAAGTTAAGATTAACATTTTAAGTTCTGTATTTCAAATTGATAGTTGGCGTTAGAGTAGTAAAAAGGGTTGATTTCTAAATAAATTAACACGCGAATCAGAAAGGAGATGTTTTTTTTTTTTAGGGGAGGATCCTTGGCAATTAGCCTCTTTGTAATATACACAATTGTCTCTTAATTAGAAAGTTAATTATGCTCGACTTTTATCAAGCGACAAGTCTATGTGCATTCACTGTCTCCAGTAAAAAAAAAAAAAAAAGTTTTTAAACAAATTTCTTTAATGATTACTTGCTTTTCGTAAGTTGTATGGCTTTATAGCTGATTCTAGAAAATTACATTTTGTTATGAAGGTCAGAAGGTTATAGTAGTCAACAAAATAGACTTTAAACAAGAAATTGTTAAAACTGAGTAATCTTCAGTTGCTGAACTTGCATAACTCACTTTCAGATAAGATTCCTTACAGCAAACTAATTTTGTATCATTTTAATTAAAATGTGAATAGAATCAGTTATTCAATGACAGTTAAAAATGACACTTGAATAAAAATATATTTTAGTTTGTGATTTCAAGTTAATGTTTGTTTTCTTCTATCTTTCCAAAAAAAAAAAAAAATCTTAGCTTTGTAGAGTTGGATAATTGTCAATACATTTAGTTAAACTGAAGGACAAATAAAAAGTCTTTTCAGTAAGTACTACCCGATTATTTTTATTGTTACAAAATCATCAGCACACTCTTCCTGAAGTAATCTTTATATAAACACAAACAACAAAAGGGTAGATTTATTATATTTTAATTTCAGGTGGAGAATTTTCTTGAATTCTTATGAATCCATTTCAAAGAATGCACCAATAAAAAAATAAAACACAGTCTTTAAAAAATTTTTCTTTTGTGATCTTCATTTTCTATTGCAGTCCGATTTTTGCCTAAATAGAAAACTAATAACAAAAACTGGGGAATTGATAATTGTTTAATCTGTATTAAATCATTTTTCCAGGCTTATTTCAAATACATACATACACACACACACACACACATTCATTTGTTTGCACAAAAAAATGAAATGAGAAAATCTGAGTCTCAAAATGAAACTTGTATTAATAATCAGAAAAATATTTTCAAGTTTCTATTCCCAAGTGAGAATCCACATGAGTTCTTGTTATTTCAGTTCATTGATTCAAAGTCCAAAAAGACTCAATTTCAGCCTTGGTTCCTTTGAGCTGACCAATAAATGTTGTCCTATAAAGCATTCTTTGCTTTGTTCTCCTTGAGACAGAAGAAAATTAAAGCCAATTGATTCACATGTTTTGCAGTAATTGCCACATCAAAACACACAGGAGATCAGATTAAAAGCTGGAAAGAAAAAGAAAAAAGTTAACACTGAATTAATAGATTATTGATTAAAAGTGTATGCTGATGACAAAAAAAATTAAGCTTTATCTTGGAATGAAGACTTACCAATTTGGATCCCAAAACTGAATAGTAATAGATAAAGAATTAGCAAATCCAAAAAGATCTAGTAACTTATTAAAGGTTCATTTAACTATTAAACAATGTCAGTCAATAACAGTAAGATTGGTGGCCAAATTCAGTCTCCTTACTACAAATCCTTTTGTCACACATCCTATTTGTCAAGAAAAGATTTAAAAAGAACACATTGCAGTCACACTTGTAGCTTCATCTAGAAAAAAAACCATATTTTTTCATACTTCTCATTTCTCCAAATGAGAAAACACTTTAAGTCTACAAAAAGATTTAGTAGCAAATACGACTTGCTTTTTAAGATGGATCTCTCAAACAGGCAACATTGGCAAATAATATCTTAATATTTGGTCAGTGAAGCTAATTGATCAACAATAATTTAAAAAAAAAATCAAGCAAGAAAAAAAAATAAGGTGCAATGCAATTTAAAAAAAGAATATAATCCACTGACCTCTTATTATTTAGTCTCCATCAGAAAATTCATGACGAGCCAATTCATCTTCTTTTTCAACCTCTTTTTTTCACTTTCTGCCATTTCTGTACCAAAGAGGAAACATTCTTCTTTTTCAGTGTTAAACTTGTGATGACCTAAAAAAAAAAAAAGAAAAAAAAAAAAGTAAAGTAAATTAGGATTTATATTAAATATGAAGCAAAAAACACAACTTGGAAACATTTCTCATTGGCCAAAGCATTCTTCTGGTTGACTTGGAAAGCTTATGATAGACCAAAAAAAAAAAAAAAATGAACTCTCCAATAATGTTTGTTCTCCTTTTTATACAATTAATACTACTCCCCTCAAAGCAGAACTTCTTTGAAACCAAAAACATACAGATGATTATGAACTTACTGTAGAAGTTACAATCTATTTTCTAATAATCTTTTCAAAGTAATTCAATTGGCATAAAATGAATTTTAGTTCATCCTTTGATGGTAAACATCTAAATGTAAAATTTGAGATGAAAAATGAGGATATCAAATTTATGTCAATCTATGTAGATATTTACACATTAGTAGAATAAAGTATATATGAAACAAGCAAGTTCATGTGAAACAGTCTAGAAACAATATTATGAATTAAAATAAAAAGTTGAAGATGCTGAGGACTTATCCAAGAAAAGCCAAACTCTCAAAATATAAATTTACCTATCTGGTTAATTTAAAAGCACCACTAACATACAATGGGATCCATTAAAAATAAAAGAATCACAGAAAAACAATTTAAACTGGTGAGGCTATTAAAATCATGAATTTTGACAAAGCATTAAAAAGAATTAGTCAATCATACAAAATGCCAATTTAAAAAAAAAAAAAAGGAGGAAAATTCAAAAGCAAAGTCTGAGATTTAAAATTTGTCAAATATAATAAATAGCAAATAACCAAAATGGTGAAAAGTATAAATTTACCTTATCTTTTTTCTTCTTTTTCTCTTTAGGATTTTTTATTGTTTCTATGGCTTCATTATTATCTGTCAGTTTTGGACTGTTGGATGAATCATTGGGTAATTCAGATAGACTGGAGATTGTCAAATGCGACATGCTTGGGGCATCACTTCCAGTAGTCTCCATGTGTCCACTGTAGGTCAGGGTACTTTCTGAGACTGCTGACACAGGTAAAGACTCCGCACTCGGTGCTGGGCGTGTGATGTGAGGTGGTTTAGATATCACAGCAGAGCTACTGGTATTATGGTTGCCAACAGTATCCTGCACTGACACAGTTGTTCCATTGCTCCCTGTATTTGCAGAGTTGATTTTAAAATCAGCTGATGGTAAGAGGGAAGCAGCAGCGGTTGCAACTTCATCTTCAGGATCAATTTCCATATCATCTATATCATCTGTCGCACCAGAAGCTGAAGTGCGTGCAGTAACAGGCTTATTTAGCGATGCCGCCAGCTTCATTACATCTTCCAGATCATCCTCAACAGTTTGAGTTAGTTTTAAAGGATTCTTATTATCCAACTGTGGGCTGTTGGTTTCTCCAATAGAAGCACTGGACACAGTCGGAGCAGATGATTGCAGGTTAGGTTCTGTACCTGGTGGGGGTGGTTCTCCAGGGTAGACGCTCATTTCACAGCCATAATCCTTTAACTTTGAACAACTTGAACTTTCTGGGAGAAAAATGTCTATAATTATAGTCTCAAATTAAATGACATTTTCTTTTTAGAAATTTACAAGCAATTATAAATAGAAGATTGGTTTTCAGTATTATTTTTGCATAATTGATTGAATTTAGTTATTCAGTTGAAATGAATTCCAAGCAAAGTATATCAAATTTTCCAATAATAAATCAGAATAGTTTCATTTTTATATTAGGTTGGAACAAAAGTTCTGTACCACTTTTAAGAAAATTTCAAAGACAATATTTAAATAATTGTACATAGATTTATTCATGTGTGATTTTGTTCCACTATCTTTTACCACCTTTTGAGGCAGCTACATGGTTCCATCCTCCCAGAATTTGAGAACTTTCTAAGTGACAAACTCTGGTCTCAGTGGTTTTTACAGTCTTCTAGAGAACTGACGTTATTCCATTAAGAGAATTTTGTAGGGAATAAAATAAGTGGCAATCCAAAGATACAAGGCCAGATGAATATGGCCGATGTAGTAGGACATCTTGACCAATTTCTGTCAGGTTTGCAAAGAGATGTAAGGTCTGGTGTTGACCTAATGGAAGATGACACTCTTCTGATTGTCCAATTTGGGATACTTTTCATCAATTGGGGACAATACTTGTCTAAATTCAACATTTGATTTTGCAGAAGGAACTTGTAATGCACTGTGCCTAGCCAATCTAATCAGTATCACCTTCAGATGCAAATCAGCTTTTAGAATGGTGGTTCCTTTCATTTTTTCTCAGGAGCTTTTTTCACTCAACATTGTTGTAAACAGTCTATTTTTCATCACATGTGAACAATCATAAAAAGTTTGAGCAGAGAATCACAAATGGAAATGAAGTCTTAAATTTTTATGCTAAATTCTGAGATACCCAAACATTGTAGCAATCAACATATTCAAGCATCTTCAAATGCCTTACAATGATCATATGAGATATGTGGAGTATCTATACAATGCCTCAAGTCATGTGACCTGGGTTATTTTTAATCAGTATTTCAATTTAATTATTGTCAACAATTGCAGGCCTGACTGAATATTCTGACATTCAGATTTTCAAAATCTGTACAGATGTCAAATTTCAGTCATGTGTGAAATAAAATCAAACACCACACAATGAAAAATGATACAAACTTTTTGTTTCAACCCAATATATTTAAATTCTGACAAATCAACACCATTTTGTTAACAGCATCAAAAATGCAATGAAGAATATATAAAAAAATAATAATAAAAGAATTATATAAGAGAGACATCAACTTAACAAAAACCAAGTGTTCAATTTTTTTTTTCTTCCAAATAGATTTTATTTTTCTTTAGAAATTAGAATTAAACAAAATGAGAGTATATTTTATTTTATTGAAGGATTTGATTTTGCTCATTATAAAAATGAATCATGTTCAGATTCCAGCTCCCATTACCTGATTGTATAGATCAATATATTGCTTTTTTTATTTAGAGTTGCATTTTGGCATATTAACAGTTGCTCCTGTAAAGAACTAAAATCTTGATTTTATATAAAACAAAAATACAATTATTCAGTAATTACTCTTCTATCAAAGCATTTACTCATTTTTGGAGTAGTTTGCTCATATTTAAAATCTATTCAGCCTGACACTTGCCTATTCTAACAAAATTTGAATAGTCATTGGGCCCCAAGTGATTACCAAATGACCTTAATTGACTTAAGAATTACATACCTGAACGAGATTTACTTTTTGATGAATCCTTGCTTCTTGAACTTTTTGATGATTTGCTTTCCTGAAAGATGAAAAGATCACAAATGATAATACATTTTCTGTCAATAGTTATGTTTACAAGTAAAATTAATTTCCTTTTTTCAAATGTCAAACCGAGACAAAAAGAATTTGAATTTAAAATTGCTCTTGATCAGAAGCCACAGAGTTTAGTGATCAAAATTATTTTCATGCAAGGAAGAGATGTAGAGCTTTCTGAATCCAAATTATGCCCAAGTCATTTGAACTTTTGATATTGAATAAAAAATAAGCAATTCTTCAACAGAAATTTGACTTTGTTAACAGAAAGGAAAATTACAAACTTGAAAAGAATCTCCATAAAGTAAAATAGCCATACTAGATATTTATTCAAAAATTTCATACTTCTAGAGACAGATTTTATAAGAGACAAAAAAAACAAAAAAAACATCCAAATGGTCTTCTGCAGGGAAACAAAATTATAAAGCGTTGCTTGTAATCAAATTTGGATGTCAAATATTTAGATTCAACAGTTAAAGTAAAATTGTTAGTAGGAAGTTAAAGTGAATGAAAATTAGCATAAGCACATTGTCCTGAAGAATTAAATTTGTTAATCAAATATCAGTCAGTTGCAAATACAAAAGGTATGCAGAATAACTTACTCAATTCCCAAAATCTGATCAAACATCAGATAATTTTTATTTTATTATTGTCTCCACCCCACCACACCTTGGAAAGTTCCAACCTTTTCAACACCCCCCTTATGTATGTTACTTTCATTTCATTATTTTAAATTTATCACAGTTATTATTCACACTTAAAATGGTTTGTAATAAATTAACATTTTTTTCATAAAGTCATTTTGCTTGTGTCTTGTACAAATAATTACATTTTACCTTCCTACTCCTCTTTTCTTTCCGTCCTTCCGACTTGGATGATGAATATTTTTCCTTCTCTGAAGACTTATCTCGCCGCTCATACTCTTTGGCAACTTTCTGATGCTCTTTGTCTGCTTCTACTGAAGCTTCTTGAGTTTTCTCTAATGATGAAGGTGATGAAGATGGTGGGGGATGAGGTGGCAGTAAAGGCAGGGGCAATGAGCCAGTCACTGACTCAAGATTGTCTGGGAGCTCATTCTCTTCTTCCTTAGATGGCTGATCAGGATACTCCCACTGTGAATGGCCGGTGGTATTATTGGTATAAAAATAACGCTTGCATGTTCTACATGGTTGTGCAGAGGGTCCAAAGAGAAAAAAGAAAAGAAAGTACAAACAGATGAATTTCTACTTTCAGCAAGACATTTTAAAAAAACGAGAGGAAAAAAAAAAAAAAAAAAAAAAAAAAAAAAAAAAAAAAAAATTTTTTTTTTTTTTTGTTGGGAATGTTTTTTTTTATATTTGGAAACAAAAAAAAAGCTAAAGTGTACAGAGGTTAAATAAACAATAGTTATATATATATACATTAAGAAACAAACATACATATATATATATTTCACAGAAATAAAATATTCAACAAGCTTATCCCACTGCATTTTTAGCAGCAAGATAATTTCAGTTTGAATATACATAAAAATACACTTTAGAATACAAAGAAAAATTCTAAGTTTTAAAAATAACTTTATCAATAATAAAAAAATTACTTTATCAATTTTCTTTAGATAAATAAAGAAGTTTTAATACAGCTTTCAAACTTTTTTTAATGATTAACATTTTGCTTTTAGTTTTTTTTTTAATATTTTCAAATGAATGTAAATTGCCAACAAAGTTATTTTTTTTAATAATAATACAAAAAAAAAAAAAAACAAACAAAAAAAACTAAAAGATCATTTTCTAGTAGTGAAATCTTTGAGAGCTTTTTAACATTCACTAGATTTAATTATTACAAGATGAAATTAGAATGCAAGACTGAAGTACAGAAGTTTTGGGTTTTGTCATTAGTTATGTGAAATTTATCATGTTATTTCAAAGAGAAATAATTTAAACCTAACAAAAGGTAATGGAAAAGCAAACTTTGAAACAGTAGGAAACTAAGAAAATATGAATTTAATATCTTTTCTAAAGATTATGGGGTGTGTGTATGTAAATATTCTCAGATAGAAAATAATTTTCTCAAAAGTATTGAAAAAGTGAAATTGTTTAAGTTTCAAATGAATTTCAATACATAAATTAGATTGAGAGCAAAAAGCTTTCAAGTTATTCAGATTGAAATTAACCAAACCCTATATATACAAGGTTAAACAAGCTAAACCGAAAGATATTAGTTATGTAGGGATACTATGTCCCAAGAGTGACCAACACTAACAGTAAGTTACTTTCTAGGATAGTCTATTTTTTCTTTTATTTATTATTAAACATTTTCCTATTATCTCATTATCACTCATGTAAAAACATTCATTTTAATTTACTAGAAAATACTTTCAAATTTAAGGAAAACCTTTCACTAAAAAATTGAATCTTTAAAAATGGAAAAATCTATTTTTTATCCATTAATTTCTCTTGTAGACATCTATTTCATGAAATCTTGTTGGCAATTAAAATAAACCTAAACTAAAATGTATTTAGCCTTTAAATGTAGGCACAAGCTCACTGTTCAGAAATAATATTAGAAATAAATAAACAGGACTTTTATATTTTAATAACATTAAAATGTTTTCTAGCATGGTGCTATATTTTACTTTCCTAAAAAAAATTTAAAGTTTAACACATACACACTAGAAAACTTGTAATTCCTCCTTATAGGAAAATTCTTTTAAGAATATCAAAAGGAATTTATTCATACTTTCACGTTTACTATATACAAAGTTATCATTAGATTCTTTATACCAAGACTAAAAATACTGAAACATAGCACTAACAATTTTCCAAAGTACTAATTTTGTAACATTTAAAAACTAGTAATATTAAAATATTGGTATCTAAATGTGAAAAAGATTAAAACTATTAGATGTTCTTTTAAAACAATTGCATTTCAAATAGTGTTTTAACCATTTCTTTCAATAAACTTGAATGTATATGTCTGTTAAATTTAAAATGATAATTTTATTTGGTTATTAAGAGATTAAACCTTGAAGTAAAAAAAAAAAAAAAATGTAAAAGATATACTTTACAATAAAAGTGTTGATTTTTTTAAAAAAATGAAATTGCCTAAAATCATTTTAAATGCAAAAGAAAAAATTCATTTTTTATCACTAACATTCTTTAGAAAGAAAAAAATATTTCCCATAGTACAGTTATGGTTTTTAATTTTTTAATTTGGTTTACAAAAAAAAAAAAAAAAAATGTAACAAGAAATAACTAATAAAACTCTTTCCAGAAGTTCTATGAAATTGCAAAGATTCTGTATCTGACGCATTTAAAATTGAGTTTTAATGTATGTAAAACATTTGATAAACTTGTAATTTTAGAGTCAGATTAAAACTGAGCCGATAAAAAAAGATTAAACTTCAATAAATCAATTTTCTATATCAGTTCAATAAATTACAGCAAACAGTACAAATCAATATCATTAACATGAAATGTACAATTCCTGATGATAAAAAGCAGTGAAATAACAAAGGAGATTTTGCCATTCTTTAAAATATCACAAAAACTGTTGAGAAGCTTTACAACATTCATCTTCATACCTACAAATTTCATTCACTCAGGGTCCAGTTGTTAAGATTTGAATGCATAGTTTTACAAATAATCATATTAAAATATATTTATAAATATTTATGTAAAAAAATGTATATTTGGTTTTTGCAAATGGTTTAGAAAATATTAAAAACAATTTTTTAGTTCTTATAAAAGAATTTGGTAATTTTTTAATTCTTATAAAAAAATTTGGTAATCTAAATTTCTGAAGTGATTTAAAAATATGAATTAAAATATAACTTAAGATTTTAATCAAGTTTTATTTTTTCATTATCTTGATTGAATAAATAAGCGTGAAAAGAATCCTCTAAAGGGAAATTTATGAGATAGCAATTAAAGTTGTCAAAAGTCCAACAGCAAAGAAAATAGGACAACTAAATTTCATAGAATGTCAATTAAAAATACTTAATGTCTTAACTCTTTCATATTCATGCAATAAGGAAACAAACAAACAATTGCTAGCTGTTGCTAATTCATCAACAAACAATATATTCATTTTTATGGAAATAATAATAAAATTATAGATGCAAAGAGAATTGTTGGTTTCAAACCAATAGGAATGACTGCAAAACACTTGCCCCTCCCCATTTTATAGGCAGAAGCATACAAATGCATGCTGGGAAATTTTCCTAGCCAATAAAATAGGTTGGTTCTTGGTTTCATCTGACCCAGTCCCGGTCTGCCAGTTCAGGTGGTTTGGGCTGTTGTCAAACTGTCTTCAGGCAGAGAGGAACCCAGACGAGGCTATGCCAAAGGGCAGAGATACATATGGGGAGGTAGACAAGCCTGACCCCATGTATGCAGGGACTATGGGGAATATTTGCCCAAAGCCATGGGCCCAGATTCGCCTCACATAAAAAACGACCTTGTGCCACATCCTGCCTTGTGGGGAGGTGAGGTAAATAACCTCAGTCTGTCTTGAAGTCAGTTCGTAGTCCTAATTTGCTTTTGTGTGTCAAATCCAATTGTTAGCTTGTGAACTTTGTGCCATATTACTATTGCTATGCCTTGCATATTGTTTGCTTGCTATATATCATTTTTTTTTCTTTGCCATGTTCTTTTCTTTTTCTTGATATTGCTTTATTGAAAAACCATCAATTTTGTTTTGTTGGATAGTTCAATTATTTATTTTGCATTTGACCATAGCTACTCACTTTTGATTATACAGTAGATTAAAAGTAGATTAATATGAAGGAAATGCCTGGAAGAGAATTATCAATGTTTTAACTTTTAATCTATAGCCATTTGTCTTAATGTGACTGGACCCTGTCAACGTTGATAAGTTCTCACAGCTTTGTTTGTGCAGTATCTTAATAATTTAATTATGAGAAAGTGGTTTCTCTAAATTTTCCCTGTCAATCATCATAGCATGCCAGCAACAAAGCATTTTTTTCAATGTATCTGGTGAATAAAACTGAGTGGAGGGGAAAGTGAATTCATGTTCCAACTTCAAAATATAAGGGTTAAATATTCAGGCTAAACTTAAAATCAAATTATTATTTTAAATAAGAACAAGATGAGATACTCCTAGGCATAGAATGAGAATGATCTACTCCCATAGATTAAATAAAAGATTCAGTTTGAAATTTCCTGAATGTTACTCAGATCAACAAGTAGCTGATGAAGGCCAGCATGCACAATGGCCAGAACATTGTAATAATAACAAACATGATGTAAATAATGATAACTCTTCAGCCCTGAAATTCAAATTCTTTGCTTATAGATTATACCACCTAGAACTTCTGTTTTGGTACAGTTGTCTTGTATTTTGCACAAGGTTGTATTTATATATTTCTTTGCTAATGATTTTGCTTTTATGTATATTTTAAACTGGGAAATCTTTAATTTTTCCTATTTATTCTCCCTTCTGCATTTTATCTGTTCAATCAAGTCACCTTAAAAATACTGAAACCAATTTTTATAAATTTTTTCTTTTCTATTCAATTTAAGTCTTCAATTTAGAAATTCTTTGCAGTAAACATCCTAAAACGTTTCAAGTGATTCACTTGGATTTACTGTAAAGCACACTTAACACACAAACAGTAGGCTTCAAATTTTGACTTATTAAATATTTTCTAGGACAGCACATTTATTAAATTTATATTTCTTTGAATGATTTCAGGAATACAATTTCTACATTGATATTTTCATACTAAAATACAATTATTTAGAATGATTTAGCCTTTTTTTTTTTTAAATGTCATCTAATGACCTAAATACAATACAACTTAAATTATATTTTTAATTTTATTCATATACACATATTTAGAGACAAGTTTGCAAAAGTACAAAATCATTCAAATTATTAATATGTCACTGTTAAAATTATAATAAAATTTAAGTAAAATTGTATATTTTTCAGTGAAACTTACTAAAGTATATCTGAACTTGTTATATCCCCACCCTTGAAAATGACTACTACAAATTTCATTAAAATCTTTATAAAAAGGAAAGACTCTTGTATTCAACTAATAATTCTTTGCTTCAATAATTAAAAAAGGCTAACTAAATCCAACACAAAAATACATCAATCTAAAAGAACATCATATTCTTGAAAATAACATGTTTAAGTGTATACATTAAAATAAA